CCTGTAATCGTATCTTCCTAGCTGACCTTTCTACAACTTTTTCTTGCCCACGCTCGACACCTAGTGAGCTTTCTCAGGGGATGCTTTTTCTTCGTACGTTTTAATTGTTCTCTCTCATTAACAAATGCTGATTCAAATGCCATGCATTTACCGATGATGTCAAATATGCAATGAGAGCAGTAAGAACTGATAATGAGCGGGAGTGGTGTAGTGCCCAATGACACAATTTACTGCAGGGTGAGGCATGATTGTGAAAGGGCAAAAGAGGTATAGGTATGGTAGGTAGGGTATGTCCCTCTCAAGATTATTACCGCCGAAATTTTTTCTGCACACTATTCGGGAATGCAATTTCTGGTGAATATGACAACTTTTTGCTGCGTGTCTTTCCACGATGTCTTCTAATTTGACGCCATCATCGTTTCAGATATTATCGTGGTACGCACGGTGTGGTAGTGGTATACGATGTCACAAATGGCGAATCGTTTAGTAATGTTAAACGATGGCTTCATGAAATAGATGCGAATTGTGAAAGTGTACAGAAAATTCTTGGTGAGCTATTTCTGTTTTTGAAACAGGAACTGAATGTTTTGGGCACGGCGTATTCTAACTAGACCATGATAGGAAGATGAGAAGAGTAGAACATCTAGAGCTCTTCCATAGACTTACAGCCTTGTTTGCTGCGGATGCTGGGCGTGTCATGGGCTGGGTTTGGTGCAGCGCCAGTCCGCTTACCACCAGTTGTTGTGGTTTGCTTACTTCAACAGTTGATGGAGAACAGGTTGGCGTTGCATCAATACCAGCCCCTGACACGCCCTAGCATCCGCAGCGAACAAGACTCTACTCAGTGGTTGTGGACGTATTTGTAGCTGAATTTTATGAAACTATTTTTCTAACTCTTCCGAAAAAATCGTTAGTGTCATATTTTCAGTAGGAAACAAGAACGAAGATCCTGCACGAAGAATCGTACTAGAAAGTGATGCAAGGCAGTTTGCTGATACCATGCATATAAAATTCTTTGAAACGTCTGCCAAAGAAAATACTAACGTTGAAGAGGTTCGTGTATTTAGCAGGTTCATACATTCAGTGAAGTAGATCGTGACTTTGAACCCAGTCGCACTATCAATTAGTGGGATACACAACGGGGGTCGTATTTGGCCGCTGGGCAGAAGGGTTTGTGTTCTCCGTGGAAATTTTTCTACTGACCAGGATCTTAAGAATTTCCCGTTTCACGCGCGCTATATATCTGCAGTTGGCGATGCAGTAAAACTAACGTTCCGCTAGTTAATCAAGAATGTTCTCCCTTCCCCCACCCCAACAACGCCAAAATTACGTTTGGAAAGTTGGAAGATGTTAGAATGGATGGGATGAGGCAGGGGGGGGGGGTTTAGTGGAGGAGCAAGTTACGAAAGATCGCACTTCGCAAACAATTGCCCACAACGCGATCGTGTGCCCTCCCGTGAAGAGGGTGGGGTTGTACCCCGCCCCCATGATCAGCGTGGACTCTGCTGTCAATTGGCAGCTCAATATTTGCTGTTACAGATGTTCTCCTGTATCACACGATTGGTGCTGAATGCCAAGTTGTCGAATCCCCAAGGAAGAGATGGTCGTGGTGAGGTGAAACTGACACTGAACGATAGACAACGGGAAAAGAAGAAGTGCAAGTGTGGATAGTGACATATCGCCATGATATGACGTCATCATTGCAAACTGATAACCCCGACATGTCTGTAATGATGATGTTTCAGTGATCTTTTGACATTTTTGAATATTTTGTCTACCTGGTTCTCAGAGACGGGCTTTATTCAGAGCACCTTTCTCTTTCTCACATGGTGCTGGCCAGTAGTCCTAGGTCTACTTGTTGTTGGCCAGTAGTCCTAGGTCTCCTCGGAAGGGGGGGGGGGGGGGAGGAGATTGCTGTCCATGACCCTCACGTAAATGAACGTGGCTGCTTTGACAGACAAAGTAGTTTTTCCGCACAATGTGAGGCTTTCCGGTTGTAGATCTCGGTTTCCAGTAGAAGAGTATATAGCTGCTCCCTTTCCATGTCTGTTTATGTGTGTGTGTGGCTATTATTTCAGTTTCCACAAGTAAGCTTGTACCATTCCCAACTTTTCAAATTTCCACGTACGTTCCTATCGACCCGTACTCCAGCGGTAAAGCTGCGTTCATACTTCTGGACTCAAGCGATTCACGCGCGACTACGATTGACCACGCGCTCTACCGCTAATCGTTGGACCACTGCAACACCGCAACGGGCCAACAGTTAGCGGTGGAGCGCGGTCAGTTGCAGTCGGCTGAATGGCTCGAGTCGCGAGGAATCAAACATGACAGACTTGAGGTTAGTAATCGGTGTTCTTGGAGCCAATCTTTATAAAGGCAGTGGACACTGCTGGAGGCGGGCGATTGTTGCCAGTGCTACAGGTGGGAGGGCTGGGCGTTTGGTCACACCTCAGTCCTTCAACCAATGACGTTGGCGACAACCGCCCGCCCCCAGCAATCAAACACTGCCTCTAGGTGGTGTTGTAAACTATGATGTCTTGGGCAGCAGCTATTGCCTTCCCTCCTCGTCGCAACTTCTTAGCTGTGGGAACAGAAACAGAGAACCAGTGCCTGAATAAGACCTCAGCTCTGCACGGTTTTAAAATTGAATAGTCATGAATGAGGATTTCATCTTGTTATTGTTTGTCTTTACTCACTCTTTTCATTTACCAGAGTCATTCCGCAGCCATGCTTGATGATGAGTGAATGGATGAATGAATAACTATATGTGTATAGTAATTAGGAAGTAACGTTTGTAACCGTTTGTGGTCTCTCACCGTCTGTCTCTCTCACTGTTGTGTGCCACTCAGATCCAAAAGATGCTAATCCTCTTCTGAATAGAAAGCTTTGAGATTCGAACTATCTCCTTTTGCTCGTATCGCCTCAACAATTCGTCGTCAAGCGTCTAGCTGGTCTATTTCCAGTAAATCCGCCTTATAAATCAGCAACGACTGCTCCACGGCTGTTCTTGTCACCTTGCTGAGGGGGAAGGAAGCGCGAGAAGAGTGGACCAATCAGAGTTGGGTTAGATGTGCGCATCTCATTTCTGATTGGTCCAATGTCTAACGATAATCCCGCCCCTCCCCGAAAAAGTTCGTATTGGCAAGTGGTTCAGTCGAAGTGCAATGTGTGCGTTTGTAATAAGTTCTGGTAGTGATACTTTCATCTTTCAATCATGCTTCATTTCTGTGGTCGCTTGTTCAATGCGATTGTTTTCTTCTCATCAATAAATATTTTATCGATTGTTGTATTTATTATTGTCCAGAGGGGTACCGCAAGTGCTTGTCTTGCTCGTTACATAAAAACCAGTACCCTGATGAAGTACTACAAGTGAAAGAATATCCTTTCAGCAAAGTTTTCTACGCCTGGGAAATATTGATGACGTCATGATAGTGCAGGAAAATGGATCCAGCGAGTTCGAATCTGGTTTTTGCAAGGTTCGGTTGTATTTGATTTTTCTGTAGTGGCCCACTTTTATGGGGCTTGTTCTCATAGGGTAGGTACAACTAGTGTAACAGTGAAGAATTAAATGCACAGTCCATGACAGTCGTGTGGGCGGAGACAGCCAACCACTGCAACTTTGCCAGAGGTGTTCTGTTGACTCGAAGACGGTAAAAAAAGACGAGAAGGCCTAAGGGGAAGGTGGATTGGGTGGTCGGTCATCGTGTTTCCGTCTCTGTGCGTGTCTCCGCCCATACGATTAGCGCAGGCTGTACCTTTGAGTACTCGAAGCAGTCGTGACGCTAAAAACTGCAGTGAAATGTACAAATTCTTGTCATAACTCTCGAACCTACTAAGATAGCCTAGCCACCAGCTACCGGCCCTTCAGTTTCCTTGCCCAAATTTGGGGAATATTCAAAATTAATGGCCTGTTTCAAGCGCCTCGAACTTGCTTCTGTCCCAGTTACAGAATAACAGGCGAAAGTGATGTAATGGCAAGTGGAGCGCTTACGACGGTCGCGGTCCGCCGCTCGAATTCCGGATCTGCTGCCGCCCAGGGCAACCAAGCATTCAACCTACAGGGGATGCTGAATCGGTACCAGATTTGTCTGGGACCATAAAAACTCTGACTTGTACATGAACTGGTCCCAAGTCATTGTATAAGCCTCATCGAATTCAGTAAACCTCTACGATTTTGAATGGAAGTAGAGTGACTACCGCATCCCAAAAAGGGATTGATCAACGGCGAAAAATTCACCTTTCACCTACAAAAAAGCTCAGTTCATCCTTGTAGTATTATGGTTGAGACCTACCCAGGGATACGTATTTGGTCGCTAGGAGAGGGGGAAGGGGGAGTCGTATTTGTGCTGAGAAAAATTTATGGGCAGGGTTTTGCTTGTTGTTGGGAAGGGGTATTCCCTTCTGACCTTCTGAAGAAGGTTACTTGCCTGACTTTCCGTGATTTTTCTTTTTTCATGTGTACTATATACACCCCCTCCCCCACGACAGCTCGATGAGGAGGGGACCAGGGGAGTGGTGGGGACACATATCCCCCCCACCAATGATATGGCGCTGGACGGACCCACTGCAGCGGGTCTTGGGGCTTTTGAACCCAACCAAATTTTTATGAGTTTTTCATGACTGGTTAGAGATTCCTTCCATTGGAGATGAGTCCAATCGACAAAGCAATGCTAAAATTCGCACGCAGCGCCCCCCCCCCCCCCGACCCCCTAGGCCTAATAAGGAAGGCCCAGCGCTAGACCACACCTTGGCTCCGCCCACGCGATGGATGTCCACGGCTTCTGGTACTTTATAGTTAGCTCAGCTCGGCATACGGAAGCATTCAAGAACTTCAAGAAAATGGAAGAAAGATGAGAAAGATGTGAAAGAGTGATTGGTAGAGTTCTGAGACTGAAAGAAGGAGGCATACTTAAATCTGGATTTTTTTTCTCAAACTTTCACTCACTATATATAATTTGCTTCGTCCGATTGTTTGCTTGTTTTGTTTGTTTGCTCCTGTCGGAAATTTGTTGATCTGAAGCAACTTAGAGAGGCTTTTCCAGTTGGGGATGGGTAGCGCACAGGACGATATGTAAAGAGCATACGTGACCTATGCGAAGCCCCGCCCACAGTGGGCGGGGCGCACGGAAAGTTGGGCGTGCGCGCAGGAAAAAAATCATAACGGGAAAAAATGGAATAAGGTTAGCAAGGGTTGTGAGACTAATTAGTGGAACGCGTACTTGAGATTGGGGGTGCTCCCCACGAAATTCATTAACTCTGTTCCCGAAAGAGTTTAGAAATCGCAAAAGGTCGATGTAGGAGGACAACACCCGTGGAGAGTTTGGCATGCCTGAGGTGTGTTGAGACCCGCTCACGGGGGCGGAGCTTGTAATAAATAAAAGGGCAGGAAAATGCATCTGATTTCGGAGTGGCTCCTTCATTAGTCTCCATTTCGGCAACTGGAGCACGGCAAAATTAGGATTGGTGGAGCGGCGCTGTCTATAGAAACTCCCAAGTCTCCTGCAGTATCACTCTTTCTCCTCCCAATGTACCCACCAGCTTGCTGAATTTCCCGAAATTTTGAGGAAAAAACCAACATCAGACAAAATCTTTTTGTGGGCCAGACGCCCTTTCATCACCTGGTAGGCTCGAGTGTTACGGGTCAAAATCATCTGTTTTACTGCCCTTCACTTGCAGTAGGTTAGACAGTTTTGATTATATTCCGATTACGATGAATTTCTTAGCCCAGTAGTTGGTGAGGATGTCTTTCCTGCCTGAGGTATCCCATTTTTTTATTGACTGTATTTTCAGCGATGGTTCGAAGAAGCTCGCTCCGTTCTGATCCTGGGCGACGGTAATCTGAGCTTCTCTCGAACTGTAGCTGAATCCGAGCCGGATCTTCCAATCACTGCTACCGTGCTTGACTCTGAAGCCGAGTTTCTGGCTCGTTATGGACACGACCGGAATATACAACGGTCTGCGACAATGTGACAATGTGCAGCTGTTGTTTGGTATTGACGCGACTGCTTTACCGTCAGATTGGACCGGGAAATTCCACTATATTGTCATGAATTTTCCACATCCGGGTGGGAAGACGAACTTGAGAAGGAGTCGATTGCTAGCCAGTGGTATATTTCGGAGTGTTGGGAGCATCATGACTGATGACAGTGAGTTTCACCTTACATTGGCGCAAGGCCAATCGGGAGTGCAGTACTGCGGCGGATCCAAGTGGAGCTCACATGTGCCCGTTCATGAGAAGGATAGCTGGCAAGCACTGTACCTGGCAGCTGAAGAAGGTCTTTTACTCAATGATGTCTCGAACGTTCTCTCCAGAAACTTTCGATGGATATATTTCTTCTGGATATCGATCATCAGCAAAAGGATTCAATAACAGCAAGGGAGCTCAGCGATTAGGTCTTCAAGAAATCTGCTCCAGTGGAATGTTTGGGCAAAGTCTCCGCCATGGAATGTTTTGCGGCCAGAAGTCTCGCATTCCACTGAGCCGCTGACGGTTTCCATGTGCTTAGGCCGTACTTTTATCACGACATCTCGTTTCTGTTCACTGATGGAAACATCGACGAAGGAGAGCGGGTAGCCCTCGAGTTACTTCGTGTAAAACTCACTGGATCTGCTGTCGTCGAGTTCAAAGTGGAGAATGCGATCGATGTGTAAGATCCCTACCTTCCTAATAGGATCTATCGACTCACTTGGCAAGTAGTCGAAGTTGCTGTGGGAAAGCGAGCATGCAACGCACTCCAGGAGGAGTTACGGGAGAAAATCCAGGCAACTATACGAGAAAGGAATGCGTTATATTCTCACTTAATATTCGATCACTTTGAGCTAGTTGAATGGAACATTGAAAGTTTTGATCTCATAAAGATTTATACAAACGGAATTCAGGCAAAGACTAGGATAAGTTCTGTATTTCACTAACAAAGGGCAGGAAAGTTGATTCGCTAGCTGTCACATGGTTTAAACAATAGAGGGCTTAATGAGGTCTAGTGTTTCGAAAGGGAATATGAGGCGCTTGGAACAAAGCCACTATGGCAGCGTCCAGATTTGGCGACGGCAGCGCTTCGGTCGCGCATTCAACGCGTTCGATGCAGTCGAAAGCACGATCGCGTTGAACGCGCGACCGAAGCGCTGCAGTCGCAAGTCTGAACGCTGCCTATTGAAATTTTTGCAAAATACGACTCACTCAAAATGTTTCTTTTGTATGGTCTTTATTCACCCCTTATCCAATATGACTACTCTCCTCTGCTGGATCCCAACTTCTACCATGTTCCGGCGTTTTCGAATTCTCACAGTTCCGGAGGAACCGTCGCAAGCTGAGAAGGGTAGGCGGTGTGGAGCGGGAGGAGGCAGGAGGGTGGAAAACGTGCGCACTCGAAACAAGAAAAGAAAGGACAACTAAGAACGTTTTTGTCAAAGGCAAATACGACCCCTGTCCCTCCACAAACCATATAAGACCCCATCGCTTGGGATTCCCGACGGGTACTGTCGTCCACTTCCTGACTGAACCTGTCGTCCATTTCCTGTTGAAGCGGTATGTTCCCTTCCTTAGGGGGCATTTTTTTGGTATCGGACTCATCAGGGGAATAAAAGCACTAACACCCTTTCAAATGCACATAATATTTGGAGTGCTAGTGGAGTGCGTAGCGCATCTGGGATTATTCAATGGTTCCTGTATCCTTAATCCTTGCCCTAATGCACTCCTGAATAGACACTGCTGGTTTTAGAGTGGGTGGGGTTTGACTTAAAGCTTTTGGCATTTTCTGTTTTCCGAATCCGTAAAAATACGGTCCATACATTGGTATCAAGGCACCTCCTCCACTAGACAAGATTTCTGGGAAAAACGACCTCCCCCAATTTCCTCCTCTGGTACGTCCTCTCTTTCGCCATCATAGCTACCACCTTACTGACTTTTCCCTACTTCCTACCACTTTTTCGGACTTTTGTTTTCGAAATTCTAAATTTACCAATTTCCCTTGAAAAACTACCGTCAATCGAGGAAGGGGAGCGTACAGGCGAGTACGACCCCCTCTCCAATAGATCAGCAAGTAAGACTCATTGGGATCCCCCAAATGAGGAGGTAGCACGCGTGAAACGGGCAAAATCTACTTTGAAAAATTACTCAGGCCAGTTACGACACTCCCCCCTCCCTTCACCATCCGAATACGACCCGCTACTGTTGGAGACTCCCCTGTGCAGGTCGTGTCCAGAATCTTGAAAAGTGATGAGAAGGAAAAGCATTCAGGGTCAATTAGACCGCGTTCAGACTGAGCACACCCATCCACATCCATTCAGATTCGCAGTAGCTTTTGATAGGTGTATGACAATACAATGATTTGCAGGAGATGTACAAGTCACAGTTTTTGGCTTGCATCAATAAGCCAATCCCAGTGGAATGGGAGAGTTGTCCAGCCCGGGCAGCTATCGTTAGGGGTATCACTTCTGGACCGTGCACCTGAAAATCGCGCCACTCGCCACTGCACCTCTGCAAGAGAAAAAATCTTCTGAGAAATTTTGAGAATATTTATTCTGGCATGCTTTATCAGACAAAGCTCCAGTCAATAATTAGAAGGGCGAAAGAACTAGTCGTAGTCATCGGGTATGTTAGCGAATGTTCCAATTGTTGGGAAGTGGAATTGTGCTGAATCCGTCAGTTCCTCCGACTGCGGCCGCGGGAACAGCCCAATGAGCACCCCAAGCAATCTATAAAAGTATCGTATAAAACGAGCTGTTGGTAAGAGTCTTACGACTGACCAACCTGTCCACTTAACCAATCGACATTCACAGATCTCGGATGGTAGTACCATTTGTTGGCGTGATCTCTGTTGTGAGGATTGTCCGGATTTGGTTCCCACAGACCTTGAATGA